TGCTTTGCAAATAAGAAATATTTTACTCCCCAGCAAATCCCGGGGCCTTTTTCCCTTTCCCCAATGGGTCTCAAAACCAAAATTGGGAAATGTCATAAAGATCAATTTCATGATTTCCAGGAGTTTTTAGACCAAAAGCAATGGAGGGGGAGGAGGAAAGGGGGAGGCAGAGGAGGAGGAGGAGGGAGAGGAGGAGAGGAGGCAGAGGAGGAGGAGGAGGCAGAGGAGGAGGAGGGGGCAGAGGAGGAGGAGGAGGCAGAGGAGGAGGAGGAGGCAGAGGAGGAGGAGGAGGCAGAGGAGGAGGAGGAGGCAGGAGGAGGAGGAGGCAGAGGAGGGGGAGGAGGCAGAGGAGGAGAGGAGGCAGAAGGAGGAGGAGGGGCAGAGGAGGAGGAGGAGGCAGAGGAGAGGAGGAGGCGGGAGGGAGAGGAGGAAGGAGGAGGGGAGGAGGAGGGAGGAGAGGAGGAGGGAGGAGGAGGGAGGCAGAGAGAGGAGGAGGCAGAGGAGAGGAGGAGGAGGCAGAGGAGGAGGAGGCAGAGGAGGGGGGGAGGCAAGGAGGAGGAGGAGGAGGAGGAGGGGGGAGGAGGAGGAGGAGGAGGAGGAGGAGGAGGAGGAGGGGAGGAGGAGGAGAGGGGGAGGAGGGGAGGGAGGAGGAGGAAGGGGAGGAGGAGGAGGAGGAGGGGAGGAGGAGGAGGAGGAGGAGGAGGAGGAGGAGGGGGGAGGAGGAGGAGGAGGAGAGGAGGAGGAGGAGGAGGAGGGGCGGAGGAGGAGGCGGAGGAGGTGGCGGAGGAGGTGGCGGAGGAGGTGGCGGAGGAGGTGGCGGAGGAGGTGGCGGAGGAGGTGGCGGAGGAGGTGGCGGAGGAGGTGGCGGAGGAGGTGGCGGAGGAGGTGGCGGAGGAGGTGGGGGAAAGGAGGTGGCGAGGAGTGGCGGAGGAGGTGGGGGAGGTGGCGGAGGTGGCGGAGGTGGCGGAGGAGGTGGCGGAGGAGGTGGCGGAGGAGGTGGCGGAGGAGGTGGGGAGGAGGTGGCATTGGCGGTGGTGATGGTGGTGGTGATGGTGGTGATGATGTCATCATCATGTTTACTCACATCTTCAAGCAGAGTATAGCACTTTGTCTGGATTTTTTTTGGGTTATCCTAGGTAATTTACACTATGTACACTTGTATTTATGTGTACCTGTGAGACAGAGATAGACAGATAGAAAGAGAGAGACAGATTCAAAGAGATAGAATGAGGGAGAAAGATAATTAGATAGAATGGAGGGGAAGCAGCATCCTACTCCATTGTTTTGACAGGCGGTAGGGGGAGTGAGTAATGAGACAATATGTCATTTTGACAGCTGCTGACTCCTGACTCAAAACAATTATAAGCCACACACTCGCACACAAGACAAGCTTGCTGAATGAAGATAATAGCAGTTATATGAAAGTATCTAGTGACTATATATGTGTATATATATTATAGAAACCAGAAGGAAGAATGGAAGGCAGGAATGAAGGAAGGACGAGATGAAAGGAAGGAAAAAAGCAAGGAAAGACGAAGGAATGTAGGAAGGAAGGTAGGAAAGGAATGCAGGAAGGTAGGTAGGAAAGGATTGCAGGAAGGTAGGTAGGAAAGGATTGCAGGAAGGTAGGAAAGGAATGCAGGAAGGTAGGAAAGGAATGCAGGAAGGTAGAAAAGAAGGTAGGAAAGGAATGGAGGAAGGTAGGAAACGAATGCAGGAAGGAAGGAATGATGACACACGACCATTTACCTAGGATAACTACATAACACAACTGCCTGCTAATACTTTGAAGGAAACTGCTCAGAGAAGGTGTTTTGTCTTTGCACATAAAAAAAAAAAGTCCACAAAAATGCACACACACTGGTTTTATGTGTGAGGAATGTAAAACACCATTGTGTATGACACCATGTTTCAAAGAGTTCCACAAGCTGCAGAACTTCCAGGAATATGTTTGGTGAGTGTACATTGGTATATATATTATAGAACAATAGTAATAAACAATTTTTTGTATTGTTTGTTTTTGTAAACAAGTTTTGTAAACAATATATTGATAATTATGTTTGTGTGCTTATTGTGTTGTATACATTGCACCTTACTTTGGTCTCACAGGCCACATAAGTTACGTGAAAAAAATAAAATAGTGAAAAAAACAACAAACCTTCAAATACAAGTAAACCAAAGTTTACCAGGTGAGCGGCAGTCACCGCTGTTGCCATACGCGGCTCATTTTCTGCAAACTTCACGCCTCTATATCTCGGTAAGTACTGATGGCAATTTTTTTTTTTTGGACTAAAACACTCAGAAAAATAATCTTAACATTTTCATAAGAAAAAATAATTTTTTTTTTCGAATATTTTGCGACATAGAATGACAGTTTCAGAAAGGGGCCTGCGACAGTCAAAGGGTTAAGGATCAGGGGTCTCAACACTGAAAGGGTTAAGTATATCTATTACCTCTATTTTCTTCACTAGAGGCATAGTTTCACACTCAAACTTCTTGGCATCTTCATCTACATTAGATGTCGTTCTTGATGCCATTAATAATAGACACTGCAAGGGGCAATAAAAAAATTAGAAATGGAGTGATAACACAAAAGTGAGCAATTGTAAGGCATGTGTCCATGAGGCAACTGGTGATGGATGGGTTGGGGGAGAGGGAGGTGGGTGTAAACAAAGCTAGGTCTACCATGAAACAAAAGTGGTCTGAGGTGCGTGGGAGGATAACTGACCCACCTGTGCTGCCGCTGCAATGGCTGGCCATGTCAGGGTGCATGATGGGAACAGGTAGATTTGCTACGAGAGGTGGGGAACCTTCAGAGCAAAAGGTGGAAAGAGATACAAAAAATTAATTGTGAACAGGTGGAATTGCAGTAGGTGGAGGCCCGAAAAGTGGAGGTCTACTGTGCTTTCTCGAATGCACCCATCTTCAGCAAGCGTGTTTGGTACATAGGTGGTGAGTTCCTATATTTGTGGTACCATTTGCTACGAAAATATGGCTTTTATTTTTATCATGTTTACACATGTGCCTTGCATCAAGATTGATAAACCTTGCTACAGTGAACTCAGGCCAGTAGGACTGCATCAACCTTCTCTACACAATTCTATGTCAACAAGTAATGTCTATTAGAATGTAGAGGGCAAAATAAAAATTATTATTTTTGATGTATGTGGTTATCTTAAATAAAAATTTGCCATTTATGGAAATTTCAGGACCTTTACATTATTTTTCCCACATGTTCCTCATGTTACATAACACCATTTTACCTAAAACAATTTTCAGGGCATAGCCCCGGCATTATGAAAGGGTTTACTTTATTCTTATTTCTGAACGTCACTTTGAATTATCATGTTATTAAAATAATTTGAAGCAATTTTTTTGCAGTTAACATTTCATCTTTTTTGACCAAATTAAATGCACTTTACTTGGAAACTGGTATAATACCATATTCATTATTAAGATACATTTGCAACACTTGGTTATCTTTAATGCCAAAAAGTTTCACCTCCACAATAGGCTTCTTCAGTTGAATACAAATGAACACAACAGTGGAAGCAGTAAAAGTTATATTAACATGATCAATCCATCAATCCTGGCAGGAGGTAGTCAGTCCCTCTAGCCTAAAGCATAGGCATGCGGCGAGATCTTGTATACTCGAGTTGAAGTGAGATGAAGCAGTTGGAGCTGATGTCACAGGTGAGCATATCCCACAAGTGGAAGTGGTTCATGCTGAAGAATGTCCCACATGTCCTTCTTCCACTTATGGGCCACACTCACCTGTGACATTAGCTCCAGCTGCTACATCTCATTTCTACTCTAGTATACAAGGTCTGGCCACATGCCTATACTTTAGGCTAGAGGGACTGACTGCCTCCTTGCAAGGGTGATGGACTGAGCATGTTAATACTACTATTATTACTGCTTCTACTGGTGAAGTGAAACTCTGATAATATAGATACCCAGGTGTTGCAAATGTGCCTTAATCATTAACTTCTTGGTACTGAATACCATCAATAATAAAGTACCATATTCAGTTTAGTTTGTACATTTCAGTCAAAGCCTGATTTTATGTGCAGTAACCTTATTTACCTTGATTTATTTTATTTCCGTATCAAGCCATAAACTTTATTCACTCAGATTTCCTCCTCCATCATTAAAAATCACCTATTTCAAAATATTAGTTACTTTCTTCCTCTGTCCTACCTGATCTCTCTACCTCACACAAATTTGTATCTTATAGCACTTTTCAAATTATTTTACTATCCAAGAGCTTCATCCATTACCTTTCAACAACTTTTTTTTAATATATTCAGTATAGCATTAGAACATATAATTTTTTCTGTCACTGAGCTATCAACATAGTTTCTGTAACTATTGCCATAACACAGTGTATAATGAAGCCTTTAATCCCCCCTCCCCCTTCCCCCAGACTATTCTTAACACTCTAAAGTTCTTCGACAATTCAAAGTGAAAAATAATTAGACAGGACTAAATGCTAGTCAGAGAGGTTTGCTTGTTTCAGCCTCTGTCAGAGATACTCTTCAGCAGATAGGTATACATGTTACAAGGGAAGGTATATCTTTTAGCATGCACACCTCTATATCCTTTAATATGAACACCTATTTGGTAAAGAGTATCATCTCTCTCACTGGTGTTTCTTATTTTTGTTCAAATGGTCATTCACTCTGCATGATCGGTGTTTATTACACTTGAATTAAAGCTCCTTTAACAATGCTCAAACATTTTATCAACTATTACACCTATTAAAATAATTAATCTTTTCAATATTCCTGAAAGTTAAACTTAATTTAGACCTTCATAAACTCTAGACAAATTATCAGTAATTAAATACAAATACATAATTATATGAGTTTACTATTTAAGTACCAAAGCTTTGAAGAAAAAATTCATCTCAAATATTCGTTATAAAATAAAAATGTACAGTACTACATATAACATAAAACTGGGTTAAATATAATGCAAAACTGTGTTTGTGTACTAACCGAGGCAAATGATACTGGGGAGAGGGACATTCCCTCAATGGTGGCACGTAATTCATCAACACTAGCCGACATAGGTGCACTGCCATTACTTATTGGCTTGATCTCGACATGAATCTTTTTGTCTGCTTCTCCATCTGCTTAAAAAAATGTATATCCAAGTTGCATTATTTAAGAAGGAGAATATCACATCATATGAAAGGCTAAAAAACTTAAGGCATTCTTATTACCAGTTCCTCTAATTTTGACTTTCCCTGAGAAACATTAAAAACTGAGGAAACACTTTCATTGTCACTCATTTCATCACTGTCTTGCCAGAAGTGTGCCAATATTAACTACAACATTGCCACCCTTTCCTCAGAATGCAGGATCTGTTTTGCTCACCTCCATGACCCAAGTCTAACTAATTTCCCCTAAATCTTTAATTAACGTTGCCTTCCTCACACTCCAACACCATGTCAAATCCTAAGAACTATTCGCCTCCACTCACTCTTATGTAACATTCTTACACAAGCCAACTGGACATCCAAGCCCCTGCCACTAAAAACCTCCTTTACTTCTTCCCTTTAACCTTCCCAAGGATGACCCCTACCCCTCCTACCTTCCACCCCTGATTTATAATCTCTATTAATCATTCTATTTTGTTCCTCCTAAATATCCAAACCACCTCAACAACCCCTCCTCAGCCCTTTGAACAATAATTTTGATAACCTCCCACATTCTAATTTCCAAGTTCTAAATTCTCTGCATACTATTTGCACCACATATTGCCCTCAAAGAAAAAGAGGATAAATAAGTATACAAGATAAGATGTAGGGCGAAATGACAGTACAGTGGACCCCCGGTTAAGGATATTTTTTTCACTCCAGAAGTAAGTTCAGGTGCCAGAACTGACCGAATTTGTTCCCATAAGGAATATTGTGAAGCAGATTAGTCCATTCCAGACCCCCAAACATACACGTACAAACGCACTTACATAAATACACTTACATAAATGGTCGCATTCGGAGGTGATCGCTATGCGGGGGTCCACTGTAGTTTGCTGGATTATGTATTGGTAGATAAAAGACTGTTGAGTAGACTTCAGGATGAACATGTTTACAAAGGGCCACAGATATATCAGATCACTTTTTAGTTGTAGTTACACTGAGAGTAAAAGGTAGATGGGATACAAGGAGAACAGAAGCATCAGGGAAGAGAGAGGTGAAGGTTTATAAACTAAAAGTGGAGGCAGTTAGGGTAAGATATAAACAGCTATTGGAGGATAGATGGGCTAATGAGAGCATAGGCAATGGGGTCAAAAAAGTATGGGGTAGGTTTAAAAATGTAGTGTTAGAGTGTTCAGCAGAAGTTTGTGGTTACAGGATGGTTACAGGGATGGGGTTCACTTATCTAGGTGTGGGGTGGGAGCACTGGCAACTGCAGTGCAGGGAGCAGTTAGGACTTTAAACTAGGAGTAGTTAGTGGTATGAGTTTTGGCAGGAAAACAGTGAAGTCCCAGTGTAGTAATATGACGAGTTCTAGGGGAACTAGTAATAATAAGAACGAGGTAGATATTGAAAAGCCAGGGACCTTGGGTGATAAGGACAGTAATAGGTTTAGTAGAAAAATAGAAATGAGCAGGAAGGGTAAAGAGAAAGGAGAGTCTTTCAATGTTTATTATGCTAATTGCCGTAGTGCTAGGAATAAGATGGACGAGTTGAGATTAGTTGCTAGTGCAGGTAACATTGATGTATTTGCCTTAACTGAGATGTGGTTTAATTCAAAAAGTCGGGACATGCCTGCGGAATGTCATATTTCAGGGTTTTAAATTGTTCCAAGAAGATAGAAGTATTGGGAAGGGGGGTGGCATGGCATTGTATGTCCGAGATCGCTTGAACTGTTGCATAAAAACGGGAATTAAGTCTGAAGTAACACATACAGAGTCTGTTTGGATAGAATTTTCAAGGGGCATGAAAAACTGATTTTGGAGTGATATACTGTCCCCCAAACTTAGATAGGGACAAGGGAAAACTACTATGGAGGAAATTGTTAAGGCCACAAGGCACGATAATGTAGTAAATTCTAGGAGACTTTAACTTTAGTCATGTTGATTGGAATTTCTTGACTGGGAATTTAGAATCATACGACTTCTTAGAAGTATTTCAGGATTGTTTTTTGAAGCAGTTTGTGACAGAACCTACAAGGGGAAAATAACCTGCTTGACTTAGTTATGGCAAACAATGAATCCTTGTTAATAATTTCGAAATTTCAGAGGAACTGGGTGCTAGCGACCACAAATCAATTACATTTAGCATTGAATGGAAGTACGATAGTTGCGATAACTCAGTAACAGTCCCAGATTTTCGCTTAGCAGATTACGATGGGCTTAGAGAACACTTATCATCTGTTGACTGGGGTAACGAAGAGAGCTATCAATATGACAGTTTTCTGAACCTATACATGCTGCTCAAAGAGCGTTTATCCCATATAAAGAAATTAGATCAAATAGAAATGACCCAAAATGGATGAATAATAGGCTCAAATATCTACTAGGGCATAAGAAAGGATTTATAGGCATATCAAAAGAGGTGAGGGTCATCTTATGAATCAGTATATTGACATTAAGAGGGACATTTAAAAAGGGGATAAGAAAAGCTAAAAGGGACTATGAAATTAAAGTTGCTAGGGATTCTAAAACTAACCCAAAAAGTTTTTTCCAGGTCTATAGAACAAAAGTTAGAGATAAGATAGGTCCCCTTAAAATAACTATGGGCACCTTACTGACAAAGAGAATGAAATGTGCTCGATTTTAAATAATTATTTTCTCTCAGTTTTTACACAGGAAGACACTAACAATATTCCAGTAATTAATTTTTACAGTGGGCTAGAAGAAGATAAATTATGTAACATCACAGTCACTAGTGATATGGTTGTGAAGCAGATAGACAGACTGAAGCAAAATAAGTCGCCGGGTCCTGATGAGGTTTTTTCAAGGGTTCTTAAGGAATGCAAAATGGAACTCTGTGAACCATTAACTAATATTTTTAATTTATCTCTTCAAACAGGTGTAGTGTCTGATATGTGGAAGATGGCCAATGTAAATCCTATTTTTAAAACAGGGGACAAGTCGTTACCGTCAAATTACCGCCCAATAAGCCTGACCTCAATTGTAGGCAAATTACTAGAGTCAATTATAGCTGAGATTATAAGAAGCCATCTCGATAAGCATAGCTTGATTAATGATACTCAGCATGGATTCACAAGAGGCCGGTCTTGTCTAACTAATTTATTAACTTTCTTCAGTAAAGCTTTTGAGGCTGTTGACCAAAATAAAGAATTTGATATTATTTACTTAGATTTTAGTAAGGCTTTTGATAGAGTTCCGCACCATAGACTGCTAAAGAAAGTGGCAGCTCATGGCATTGGGGGAAAAGTGCTCTCGTGGATCGAGTCATGGCTCACTGACAGGAAGCAGAGAGTGTCCATTAATGGGGTTAAATCCGAGTGGGGATCTGTAACAAGTGGCGTTCCACAGGGATTAGTCTTGGGCCCGTTGTTGTTTATAATATATATCAATGATCTTGATGAGGGAATTACTAGTGATATGAGCAAATTCGCCGATGACACAAAGATAGGTAGGATAATTGATTCAAACGTAGATGTTATGGAACTTCAGGAGGATTTAAACAAACTCTATTCTTGGTCAGAAAAGTGGCAGATGCAGTTCAATGTAGATAAATGCAAGGTTCTGAAGCTTGGGAGTGCCCATAACCCTAGTACTTATAAGTTAAATAATGTAGAACTTAGCCATACAGATTGCAAAAAGGACTTGGGGGTTATGGTGAGCAGCAACCTTAAACCAAGACAGCAGTGCCTAAGCGTACGTAATAAGGCAAATAGATTACTGGGATTTATATCAAGAAGTGTAAGCAACAGAAGTCCAGAGGTCATTTCTGCAGCTTTATACATCATTAGTAAGGCCTCACCTAGATTATGCAGCTCAGTTCTGGTCTCCGTATTACAAAATGGACATAAATTCGTTAGAAAACATTCAGCGTAGGATGACTAAATTAATACATAGCATTAGAAATCTTCCTTATGAAGAAAGATTGAAGGACTCTTAAGTTACATTCACTTGTTAGACGAAAAATGAGGGGAGACCTGATCGAAGTGTATAAGTGGAAGATAGGTATTAATAAAGGGGATATTAATAAGGTCTTGAGGATGTCTCTCCAAGAGAGAACCCGCAGTAATGGATTTAAATTAGATAAGTTTAGATTTAGAAAGGACATAGGAAAGTATTGGTTTGGAAATAGGGTAGTTGATGAGTGGAACAGTCTACCTAGTTGGGTTATAGAGGCTGGGACTTTGGTTAGTTTCAAATCTAGGTTGGATAAGTACATGAGTGGGAGGGGTTGGATTTGAGTGGGACTTTCACATCAGAGCTTATTTCTTGGGTGGCATTGAAAATTGGGTTGGGCAAATGTTTTGTTAGTGGGATGAATTGTAAAGGACCTGCCTAGTATGGGCCAGCAGGCCTCCTGCAGCGTTCCTCTTTTCTTATGTTCTTATGAAAGTGGGTGCGGGAGGGAAGGGGAGCGATTGGTGGAATGATGATGTAAAGAGAGTAGTAAGGGAGAGGGGTGGGATTAAATTTTGGGGAATCAAATTCAAAATGGGAATTGACACAGTTACTTTTTGCTGATGATACTGTGCTTATGGGAGATTCTAAAGAAAAATTGCAAAGGTTAGTGGATGAGTTTGGGAATGTGTGTAAAGGTAGAAAGCTGAAAGTGAACATAGAAAAGAGTAAGGTGATGAGGGTGTCAAATGATTTAGATAAAGAAAAATTGGATATCAAATTGGGGAGGAGTATGGAAGAAGTGAATGTTTTCAGATACTTGGGAGTTGACGTGTCGGCGGATGGATTTATGAAGGATGAGGTTAATCATAGAATTGATGAGGGAAAAAAGGTGAGTGGTGCGTTGAGGTATATGTGGAGTCAAAAAACGTTATCTATGGAGGCAAAGAAGGGAATGTATGAAAGTATAGTAGTACCAACACTCTTATATGGGTGTGAAGCTTGGGTGGTAAATGCAGCAGCGGGAGACAGTTGGAGGCAGTGGAGATGTCCTGTTTAAGGGCAATGTATGGT